GCACACATAAAAGTGATGCTAATGGGGTCCATCCCCTATCTCCTCCCAAACAAAATCCGGTTTAGAGGTCCATCTCATCGGGTGGATTTCATGGAGTGGACTCCAGGTTCAGTATAACTCATTAATATTGATTAGTATTTTTTTTCTTTATTAATCTGCAGTTTTTGAACATGCCACAAATTTTAAAAAGTTTTATATATGATCTAGTTTTGCTTTGTTGAATTTATAAAGATCACATGGCTAAATAATGAAGTTGGAGAACTACATGAAAATAGTGCCAAACACCCAAAGTCCAGTAGATATACATTCCAATCAATGGAAATAACCAAGACAACATATAATTTGCAAAGATATTAACATGCAAACCACTTAATAATGCTTAAATCAACTGATATTAAGTAGCCAATCAAATATTTAACCACATGGAACAAAAGCCGACATTCCATATTATGCAGAAGGAAGAAGAAAGTGAAGAGAGAAGAGAATGTGTGAGGAAGCAGCAAACAAACTCTGGAAAAGAAAAAAAAAAAAAAATTCAATAGCCAACCTCCATAGAGAAATGTTTATAGAATTAGGTTGAAGAGCATTACCATATGTCAAGTCACTTAAATGGTCTTGTGACTAGCTCATGTCCATTAAGCACCACATCATATGCTAGAAAATAAAATAACCAAAATTAATCCCAAAATAAATAAAGGAAACTAAACCCTAACCTAACACATTCTTTTTTTTTATTTTTTTCCCTTCTTTTTCTTCGTTTTCTTTCTCTTCGTTTTCTTTATTTCTTTTCTTCTTCTTCTTCGTTGAACACATGCGAGAGAGAGCAGAGCAGAGGCGAGAGAGAAACAGAGCTCGTCGGACACAGCTTGTCGGCATCGCAGCTCGTCGCTCAGCCCCGCCTCCGCCTCCACCTCCGATTTTGATGGCCCCCTCCAGTCCAGTTCTTCTTCTCCTTCTTCTTCTTCCTTCTTCTTCTTCTCTTCTTCCTCTTCTCTGAATAAGGGCCAAATTCGAGCTTCTGAATTCAAGCTATGAATCAGATCTCATATTATAATAGAGTGTTGTGGGGTCACATTATAATTGAATTTTGAGTATTGTTGTGATATTTTGGTTATTTTTATTTTTATTTTTTGTTATGAAATAAGTTTTTATTTTTATTTTTTTATTTTTAATGCAATGGTGATACTATTGTCTAATAATTCCTCACAATTTATCCTCTCATGTGTATGTAGCATTTAGATTATGTGGGTATTTAGGAAGTTGTTATTTTAATATGCTATTTTAGTTTTTGGTTATTTTAGTAGGTTAAAATTTTTGTGTTTAGAAAAATAGTTGATTTTTTTGTAGTTAAATGTAATGTTTATGAGAGAAAAAATGAAATGATTATGGATTTGATATGATATTTTATTTTATTGATTATTTTAGTTTATTTTATCTTTTTGTAGATTTTAGCCTTTGCCAAACATTCCCTATATTTAGTTGGAGAATTTGACAAGAGAAATAAAAAGGAAAAGAGCTAAAATAAATCTAAAAAGTAAAAAGTGAGATTATATTTTCCTCTTACTTTTTTTTGTTTCTTATACATTTTATTATAATTAAACAAAAAATAAAATTATATTTACTTTTTTCTTTTCATTTTTCCCAACCAAACAGAAAGTTGTTGTTGATCCTCCACATCATCAATATGACTGTCACAATAAATTTTTTCTGGTGAAATGATAGTATTGCTGATTTTAAAAACAAAATTCTAATCTAATTCTAATCACCAACAAAATGTGAGTAATTAGGTGGAAACAAGGGAAAGGGTCAGATTTATCCTGACGTAAACAGTAATAAAATGTTAGGAATCATAAAAAAAAATATTATAAAAATAATTATGAAAGATTTTTTACTTTTAAATTACATATATAATAAAACACTACACTTCAATTAAAAAAAATGAAAAATTTACATGTATTTCATAATATTTTTTTTTATAATTTCTAATATTATTCAATATATAATGTTACAGTAGTAGATATAGTAAGCAAAATCATACTTAAAAAAAAGAAAAGAAAAGAAATACAAAATAACCATAGCAATCCATCAAATGGATGTCAAGGATTGATATTAACCCTTCAATAATTTAAATTTATTCTACAAAATTCTATTCTAATTGAAATCAACAAAAAAAAAAAAATGTAAATTTAATTTCAAACTCACTCTTATCAATCAAAATTTTGATGTTGTCACATAAATTCTACTCTCCACAAATTTTAATTTCCACTTAACTCTTGTTCGAGAGTTTTCCAAAAAGAGAAATGTTAGAGGTCATAAAAATTTTTTCATGAAAATGATCATGAAAGATTTATAATCCTTAGATTACTTTGATTAGTGTGCGATACTTTATTCTAATTGTAATCCATAAGTCACAAATTTTTCATAATTATTTTCATAAAAAACTTTTCATCATGCATAACATTGCTGTTCCAAAAAATCTCCCACCCTACATGATGGTTGGTTTCAAGTTGTCCACTACATATACAGACAGACATACACACGCATATGAAAAAGACTCCATTTTCTTTCAGATCCACACAATACAACTCATGGCTCCGGAAGGCGTTGGACCAATGGCCACATGCCACGTAGTGGCCATGCCTTATCCCGGAAGGGGGCACATCAACCCCATGATGAACCTCTGCAAATTACTGGCTTCCCGGAGCGGCCACATACTCGTCTCCTTCGTCGTCACCGAGGAGTGGCTCGGCTTCATCGGCTCTGACACCAAGCCGGACAACATCCGATTCCGCACAATCCCAAACGTCTTGCCCTCGGAGCTGGTCCGAGCCGCCGACATGGTCGGCTTCGTCGAAGCTGCCATGACAAAAATGGAAGAGCCGTTTGAGCTTCTCCTCGATCGGCTAGAGACGCCGGCGAGTATCATCGTAGCCGATAGTTTTTTGAACTGGGCGGTTGAAATCGGGAACAGAAGGAATATTCCGGTGGCGTCGCTTTGGCCCATGCCGGCGTCGGTGTTTTCGATACTTTACCATTTTGACCTCCTCGTCCAGAACGGCCATTTCCCGGTTGAATTATCAGGTACGTCAAAGCATAGCATAACTGTCTGCACTACATCGCTGCATCTTCAAATGTGGTTACTCCTACTCATATTTCAATTTAGAGATTTAATGAAAAGTTTCATTTTGATTTTTTTTTTTTTGAACTAGTTTCATTTGATAGGTAATGTTAAGTTTAATTATCATAAATAACATCTATATCTATATATAAGAAAAGGGGATTTCTAACCCCTAAGTTTCGGAGGAGTTTCAATATCTCAATCTTAATTTTTTAAATTTTTTCATTAAAAATAAATAAATATCAGTATTTATTGATTTAGTCAAAATTTTCTGATCAGCATTTATTAATTTTTTTCAATTCACATGCCTTTTAAGAGTTTTGGTCAAAATCACCTCATAAAAATAATTATAGATACAACTCGTGCATAGTTACAGCAGCACCCTTTTCAATTTCTCTAATACACTATAGTTAGTGATAAAATTGTTAAATTATTTTTATAAAAATCTAAAACAAATATTTTATATATTAAAAAACATCTAAAATAAATATAAATATCTATAATTATTTCATATATAACACGAGTGATAAGCTAAGAACTCATACTTAAAAAAAACTAACCAAATGACTATGATGCGTACACGCTCTATAGAATTTTCGCATTAGTTTAGGAAGACTAAATAAGTATACTTTTTGACTTTTCTTGTATTATGTGTAGAAAAAGTAGAGAGGAGATATTGATTAATATGACTTAAAAAAGATAAAAAGATAAAATAAGTGTACTTTTTTAATTTAAAAATAATTTTGTGACTTTTTATAAAAAAATTCATGTAAAAGATAAAAAGAATGAAGATGTATGTTATCTTCTTTTTTTGGTATGATTTGTAGTATATTTTAATGACCAAGTTCATATTTTAAGTCTCTATTTGATTTCCATTTTACAGGGAAAAAAAGTCATTATACAAAATTATTTCTTGTTAAGAAATTAAAAGTTGATAAACTAACTTCGAAGTTGAGTGCGAAGCAAAGGTAAAGTAAAAATTTGATGAGTGATTGGGCTATAAATTTAAAAGATGTCAAGCCACCGTAAAGTAGATATTCTCTAAATTTGAATAAGTAAAAATGTCTCCTTCAATTTGAATTAAAATTTAATTTATATAAATTTAAGTATAAAACCCATAACAAAACTCAATTCTACTTTTGTTTCTAGCCCAAATTAAACTGCTAATCGGTCAACTGCCTACTCTCTAATATTTGATAGGGTAAATTTCAAACACACCCCCACACACTCCTGAGATTTATTTAAATTACAAATAGTTTCTTGTGATTCTAGAAATTACATTATGTCCTCTTAAGGTTTCTAATTTCATTACAAATAGATCATTTTATTAATAAATCATCAAGTTAATTAACGGTATTTAATAATGTTAAAATTTTATTTCAATTAATAATTCAAATAATTTTATTATTGTATAGGTGAACAGTTAAAAATTTTACTTTTTTAATTAATTATGTTAAATAAAAAATTCAAACAGGGAAGTATTTGTAATTTTTCAAATCACAGAAAACAATTCGTATTTTAAACAAATGTCAAACCAATTTTACTTTATTACAATTCGATTACACCTTTTTACATATTTTTACAACATCATCATCAACAACAACAACAAAAGAAAAAAAAGAAAAAAAAAAATCATATTTCTGATTATTTTATTTTTGTAAGCATTACTATTTCCATTTATATGACATTGATGAAATTGACTTATGTGCTTCCATCCCGTGCGTGCATGATAGAGAGAGGAGAAGAGCGAGCGGACTACATCCCTGGACTATCTCCAATCCGATTAGCAGACCTCCCTACCATCTTCCACATGAAGGGTCACCAACTCTTGTATAAAGCTGTTAATCAGATTTCCAATGTCACCAAAGCCCAATATCTCTTGTTCTCCTCTATATTTGAGCTCGAAGCTCAAGTCATCGATGCTTTAAAACCCAAATTTCCATTTCCCATTTATTCTTTCGGCCCCCTCATACCTTACTTCAATCTTGAACATCCTATCCCTCACACCATTGCTAGTCAAACCGATCATGACTACCTCAAATGGTTAGACTCTCAACCTCAGAACTCTGTTTTGTACGTTTCGTTGGGAAGTTTCCTCTCTATTTCAAGTGCCCAAATGGATGAAATTGTAGCTGGGTTGCGGGATAGTGGCGTGCGGTGCTTGTGGGTGACGCGTGACAAAGCGTCCAGGTTAAAGGAGGCTTGTGGCAGTTCAGGGATGGTGGTGCATTGGTGTGACCAATTGAAGGTGTTATGCCATTCTTCAGTTGGGGGATTTTGGACTCATTGTGGGTGGAATTCGACTATGGAAGGTGTTTTTGCGGGCGTGCCATTCCTTACTTTGCCTCTGCTTATGGATCAAACTCCGATCAGTAAATTTATTGTGGAAGATTGGAAGATTGGGTGGAAGGTGAAGAAAGATGGGGAAATGGATAAGTTGGTGACGAGAGAGGAAATTACTGAACTTGTACAAACGTTTATGAATTCGGAGAATCCTGAGAGGAAAGACATGATGAAAAGAGCAAGAGAAATTAGAGAGATTTGTCGACAAGCAATTGAAAAAGGAGGGTCATCTGAATCAAATCTCGATACTTTTGTCAATGATATTTCCAAATGAATAGTCCATAAACTTGTAGTACCATGTTAAAAAATCAAAATTTAACAATGCTTCATCCCTTCTCCAGTCACGATTCAAATTTAAATACTCCCTCCGTCCCAAAATAATGGTCCCTTTTGGGGAATCCAACTTTTTTTGGTAGTACAATTATTGTACTTTTAAAAAGTTAAATCCTGAGAGGAAAGACATGATGAAAAGAGCAAGAGAAATTAGAGAGATTTGTCGACAAGCAATTGAAAAAGGAGGGTCATCTGAATCAAACCTCGATACTTTTGTCAATGATATTTCCAAATGAATAGTCTATAAACTTGTAGTACCATGTTAAAAAATCAAAATTTAACAATGCTTCATCCCTTCTCCAGTCACGATTCAAATTTAAATAGATGTTTTTACTTGATTAGATGCACTGTAATAGTAATATTTTTTTGTAGATTTATATTTATATTTTTTATAAAAATAAATATATATATGTCTGAAATCTCAATTTTGTAGATAGGGAAAAATTTAAATTAAGCAAATATGCTATTAGAATATTTGAGTCAAGATTAAATTATTTGAACTCAACTCATGATGAATTAATTAAAATTTATTTAAGATCAGCCAAAATCTTAAACTCAATAAAATTTTAAATTATTTAAACAAATTACTACTCAATTTAATAAAACTCATTTACAGCCGTATGCGTACTGCGAATTTGTATCCCATATATGATATATGGTTGCTTTGGGGAGCATTGCACTGTATGGCATTGGTAACTTCATATGTTGGTTCCATATTGCAGCATGTGATAACTTCATATGTTGGTCCATGCACGTGTCAAATTTTGACGCCATGTTAATCTAAAGCAGTTCAAAAAACTAACTCCGTTTGATTTGATTTTAAAATTATGATTTTAGTGTGAAATTATATTTTGAATTTTAAGTTATATTTTAAATTTTGAAAAGAAAAAATTCTTTGAAATTATTTAGATTATTTATTTTTAAAAAAGTTTGGAGAAACATTTTGAGATTTGAAAAAAGTTTTGAGAAACATTTTGAAAAAAGTTTGGAGAAACATTTTGAGATTTGAAAAAAGTTTTGAGATGTATTTTGAAATTCTTTGAAATTATTTATTTTTAAATATTTAAGAAAATTTTATTTTTTTAATTTTAAATATATAATTTTTATTTCAAATATTTAATTTTTTCAATATTTTAAATATTTTTTTTACTTTTTTTAAATATTTATTTTTCTAAAATTTTAAATTTTTTTGGATCACCCATATATATCTAAATCATAATAAATTATTGAGAAAATTAGTCTAAAGTCCCTCTCCTATTTTTAATAATGGAACAGATTCACAATATTATTTTATGACATCTAAGGTCCCTCAACCCCTAACACTCATATATTACAGAGAAATTTGATCCCCTCAAATCAAACTATCTCTCCATTTTTTCCCCTCTCTCTCTTTCTCTTTGCTCTTCTCTCTTCGACGAACTCCACCTCCATCGCCGGAGTTCATCGTCATCGTCTTCTCTAACTCTCTCTCCACTATCAAGCGAAGCTCAAAGCATCCTTATCCATGGATGATTTCACTCATATTGGAATCAAAGCATATCGTGACGAGAAGATAGCCTAATTGTGGGAGTGAACGACGATATCATCACTATCGAAGCTCATGATAGAAGTGATACTATCACTTTCATGTTTGAAAGTCCTAGTAAACTTCTTTTAGTTATTCCGACTCCGTCCTCTATTGGTCCTAGAACTAGGTCTCTCTCTCTCTCTTTTTCACACATACGCGCGCGCGCACACACACACACATATATATATATATATATTATGAAGTTAATCTGATTGATAAAGCGCTTCTTAGAACTCCAAAACACATAACTGTGAGATTTGATTTGACAAAACTCTTCTTAGAACTATAAAACATATAACTATGAGCTTTGGAGCTAACTTGTTTGATAAAATGCTTTTTAGAAAAACAATCACTGGGAAAAACAATCACGATTTTCTCTGGTTTGTTTAAAACACAGAGAAAATTATGATTGTTTTTGGTTTCTAAATAGCCCAATTTTTCTCTGATTTGTTCAAAACACAGAGAAAATTGTGATTATTTTTGATTTTTTAGTAGCCAAATTTTCTCTGATTTGTTCAAAACACAAAGAAAATTGTGATTATTTTTTGTTTCTAAGTTGACCAATTTTCTTTGGTTTGTTTAAAATAATCACATGTGATTTTTTTGATTTCTAAGTAGTCCAATTTTCTCTGATTTGTTCAAAACGTAGAGAAAATTGGGATTTTTTTTTTGTTTTTAAGTAAGCCCAATTTTCTCTGGTTTGTTCAAAACGTAGAGAAAATTTCTCTAGTTTAGAGAGAATTTCTTTAGAAAGTCCAGAGAAAACTACAAAAATTACAAATCAGAGAAATTTGGAGAGAATTTCTCTGGAGAGTAGGAAGTCCAGAGAAATTATTTGAATTGAAATTTCTCTAGATTGATTTGTGAGGGAGTTTAGATATTATGAAAATATTGAGTATCCTCTATGCTATAAATTCTTAATACCAAGAACCTTAAAAAAAAATCTCCTAAATTATTTGGTCAATACTTACAAAAATAACAAAATATTTTTTGGAAAAAATAAACAAAGTATTTTTTCAAAATAATATAAAATAAAAAATAATTTTAAAGAACAAAATAAAAAAATATTTTTTTGATCTTTTTTCAAATAGAATTTTAAAAAAAAATTAATCATAAATTTTGAATCGAGAGTTTGAATTACGTGGTTGGATATGAATTTTACCCCGTCTTCTTATTACTATTAGGAAAATGCCTCAGACCCTCAGTGGGGATGACCCCATCACCCTTACTGGTTTTTGATTGGTTCAGATTTATTTTTATTTTTTTTTCAGTCTTGCTCTCACAGCAAGACATGTGAAGCTGGGGTCACCCCTCACTGGGTCCCCAGCACTCTTGTTGTTATTATTATTATTATTATTTTGGGGTTAGAATTGCGATTCTAAAAGTAAGCTAAGGTTAAGTTTGACAACTCAAAAATAATTTATCTTTTTATCTTTTTTTTATTATATCATTTCTCTACTTTTTTATACATCTTTTTTTAAAAAAATAAAAAATATATTTATTTAGATCATTCCAAACAACCTAAAGGCGTCCTAAACCAAACCCCTCAACCACCAACCCCCCGGCCCGGGGCGGCGGGGCACCCAAACATATGGTCCATGCACGTGTCTCTAACTTTGAAGTCAAAGTTAGCCCTGGTCACGCACGTGTCTCTTACTTTGAAGTCAAAGTTAGCCTTCATTTCGCAATTATTTTAAAATTAAATTATCAAAAAAGATAAAATTAATTATAAAAGTTAATAAAATAAAATATTACTTTTTATTTATAATTATTATATATTTTTTTCATAAAAAATTAAAAATAAAACTAAACAAGATTAAAAAAACCAAATTAAAAAAATCTTAACACAAAAACCAGTCCAAAAAAAACATCCATTGATTATCATTTCATTTTGCTTTTGTCAACAGAGTTAGGTAAGCTCACAATAATTAACAAACCTCCGTTGATTTTTCTGCTACGCCTCAATCATCAAAATCAATTGTATATTCCCAAAATCAATCACAAAACTAAGCATCACTCGTCATTGATTTTTTTAAATATTTTTTTTATAAATATTTTATTAAAAAATAATATAAAAATTCATTTTTTAGATTTAATAATATGTCAATAAAATGATTAGTTGATGATAAAGAATAAATGAGAGAGAGAGAACTGACTAATATATTTTAATAAAGTGTCATATCATTAGATATAAAAACTATGTCTAATTTTTTGGTCTGAATAGTAGTATTTTATTTTATTTTTTAAGTACATCTAAGTTATATCCATCTAAAATAAAAAAATAAAAAAAAAATACTTAAAAAAATTCACAAAAAAAAAATTATGAAAAAAAAAATAATTTTTAAAATATCAGTCAAATTGAGTAACTCTAATCACCAAGAAAATCTCTCGCGCACAGAAAAATTATTAGGTATTTTCGAAACAGAAAAGCAACCCAGTGAGGTGTCAGCTGGGGGTTGGCCAAAAAAACAGTTTTTTTTTTTTTTTTTTTTGATTTCCGACCAGTGGGAGCGCGCCACGTCACTGGGGCGCCACCCCCACTGGGTGTATGAAGCATAACTGTTTTCGAAATATTACATATTCATATTCTATTAATCATCATTTACCATACTTTTCAAATCCCTCAATCACCTAATATATAATTATAATACTATGTCTTTATTATCAATTATAATACCGTAAAACCACGTAAATCCAATAATCACGCTGCAACAAGATGGTTCCTTTCTAGTTGTCCACTATATATATACAGAGACGTATGTGAATATGACTCCATTTTCTCTCAGATTCATACAATACAACTCAAAAGTCGTGGCTCCGGAAAGTGTTGGACCAATGGCCACATGCCACGTGGTGGCTATGCCTTCCGCAGGGAGGGGACACATCAACCCCATGATGAACCTCTGCAAGTTACTGGCTTCCCGGAGCCACCACATACTCGTCACCTTCGTCGTCACCGAGGAGTGGCTCGGCTTCATCGGCTCTGATCCCAAGCCGGACAACATCCGATTCCGCACCATCCCAAACGTCTTGCCTTCGGAGCTGGTCCGAGCAGCCAACATGGCCGCCTTCGTCGAAGCTACCATGACGAAAATGGAAGAGCCGTTTGAACGGCTCCTCGATCGGCTAGATACGCCGGCGACTGTCATCGTAGCCGATGCTTTCTTGAATTGGGCGGTTGAAGTCGGGAACAGAAGGAATATTCCGGTGGCTTCGCTTTGGACGATGCCGGCGTCGGTGTATTCGTTAATGTACCATTTTGACCTCCTCGTCCAGAACGGGCATTTCCCGATTGATTTATCAGGTACGTCAAAGCATACCATAACTCGCTGTACTACATCGCTACATCTTCAAATGTGGTTAATGTACGGTTGGGCTAGTCATATTTCAATTTAGATTTGATTAAAAATTTCACTTGATGTAGATGTAGTGAATTTTAATCACCAAGATCATTTTTTCAGGTCTTCGTTTGATTTCCCTTTTTGTGGGAAAAAAAATTTAAGTCATTTTGTGAATTTATTTTTCATCAAAAAATTAATTTTAATCGGTTAACATAAATAAGTGAGAGTCTAATAAGAAAGTATTTACATCATTGGAATAAAAGTAGGGATTTTTATTGATGAATCCTATTTAGAAGTGTATTAATTCAAGAAGTTTATGAATGAATCTTTTAACTCACTTAGTCTCATGTATTTATACTTTTATTTTATAAAAATCTTTTTTCTTGATTTACATTATTTTCTTAGACTCTTATGCCCTTATATTTAATATTAACATTTAATGTGGAGAGAGAAGGGAAAGGACCAGGGCATAGAAAATTTCATTCACAAATTAAATAACATTGATATTATTATTTTATATTATTATAAAATGTGAATATATTTTTAATTGACGACACATTAAAAATAATGCGAACATTTTCTCTCATCTGATGTAAATATATTTTTAGTTGACAACGCATTAAAAATAATGTGAACAGTCTCTCATCTGATGTGAACGTTCACAATATCTTTCTGAAAAATTCTCTCACATCTAATGTAGTGATGTAAATGTTCACAACATTTTTATTTTTAATTAACAACACATTCTTAAACACAACATGTAGTGATGTGAACATTCATATTCGTATGTTTTAGTATGAATATTTACATCATGTAATTGATAACACAATGAGAAAAATTCATTTCAAATTACTGTGAATATAATGATGTGAATATTCATTTTAATTACATGATATGAATATTCACATCATATAATTCACATCACAATGACAAAAATTCATTTCAAATTAATATGAATATAATAACATATACTGATGTCTGGAAACTACCAAAACATAATAAAAATTAACATTAAATATCAACATTAATAGGGGCACGAGAGATTAGGATTGTTTTAATTTTCTTACTTCAAATAAGATCTAATAAAATAGTAAAAAAAATTATGAATTAGATGGAATAAAACCATTAAAAAGAAAGTTTATCAAAAAAGCTCCCATAAAAGCATAACGTAATGATTATTCATTAGAATATTTACCATTACGCTTTGTTTATTAAAAAAAAAAAACATTAAAAATAGAATTATTATTCAATATTATAATTGAATGGTCATTCTGAAAAAGAATAAGAAATCCTCACTTTAATTTTATTCCAGTGAATTAAACTTACAAAACTCAACTTTACTTTGTACTGTTTTGGCAATAGTCTAAAACATTTAAAAACCCAAAAAATATTATAAAAAATCAATTAGTTTTCTTATTTGTTTACACATCGTTTCATATAAAATCAAAATGAAAATCAAAATATCCAATTCTCAAAACAAAAATGTTTCATTCGCACATATTTTCTCTTTAAAATGAAAATCAAAATATCCAATTCTCAAAACAAAAATGTTTCATTCACATAAATTTTCTCCTTGATTTTTTTATTGGTAAGGAACTCATTCGGAGAGAAAAATTGTGTGAATATTACATTATTATTCCCAAAACAATTTTCCAGCCCAAATTGAAATGCTAATGGGTCAACTGGCTACTCTCTAGTATATGATCCAATAAATAACAGGTCAGGTTACATGTTGGACATGAGAAGCAATTTTACTAGATTACATGTTCACTCTCTATAATTAAAAAAAATAAAATAAAATAAAATAAAATCATATTTCTGGTTAGATTTTTTTCTGTTTGTAAGCATTACTATTTCCATTTACATGACATTGATGAAATTGACTTGAATGCTTCCATCAAATGATAGAGAGAGGAGAAGAACGGGTGGAGTACATTCCTGGACTATCTCCAATCCGATTAGCAGACCTTCCAACCATCTTCCACACGAAGGATCAACAACTCTTGCGTAAGGCCTTCTATATGATTTCCAAAGTGCCTCAATCAAAATATCTATTGTTCTCCTCTATCTACGAGCTCGAATCTCCAGTTGTTGATGCTTTGCAACTCAAATTTCCAATTCCCATCTATTCTTTTGGCCCCCTCATACCTTACTTCAATCTTGAACTTCCTCCCTCTCACACCATCGCTAGCCAAACCGATCATGACTACCTCAAATGGTTAGACTCTCAACCTCAGAGCTCTGTTTTGTACCTTTCGATGGGAAGTTTCCTCTCTGTTTCAAGTGACCAAATGGATGAAATTGTAGCTGGGTTGCGGGACAGTGGTGTGCGGTGCTTGTGGGTGGTGCGTGACAAAGCGTCCAGGTTAAAGGAGGCTTGTGGTAGTTCTGGGATGGTGGTGCCTTGGTGTGACCAATTGAAGGTGTTATGCCATTCTTCAGCTGGGGGATTTTGGACTCATTGTGGGTGGAATTCGACTATGGAAAGTGTTTTTGCAGGCGTGCCATTCCTTACTTTGCCTCTGCTTGCGGATCAAATTCTGATTAGTAAATTTATTGTGGAAGATTGGAAGATTGGGTGGAAGGTGAAGAAAGATGGGGAGATTGATAAATTGGTGACGAGAGAGGAAATTGCTGAGCTCGTACAAACGTTTATGAATTTGGAGAATCCTGAGAGGAAAGAGATGATGAAAAGAGTAAGAGAAATTAAAGAGATTTGTCGACGAGCAATTGAAAAAGGAGGGTCATTTCAATCAAACATTGATGCTTTTGTGAAAGATATTTTCAAATAAATAGACCATAAACTTGTTGAACTATATTAAACAAACAATTTTTTTTTTTCCAATTTTAGCATTGTTTCATATCTTCTCCAGTCATGACTCAAATTTGAATTGAATTTTTTTACTTGATTTCGTGCACTCCAGTAAACACTATTTTTCCTGTAGATTTTTATTTTTTATATAAAAAAATACATTATATTCCTTAAATGTCAATTTAGTAAATAAGTAAAAATTTAAATTAAGCACATATGCTATCAAGACATTTGAGTCAATATCTAATTATTTGAACTCAATTCATAATCTGTTTGTTTATATTTCATTTAAAATTGGTTAAAAACTGAATAAATGTACTTTAAATACATTTTAAAAATCATTAATTCAATAAAAATCACTTACAGTCATATGCATACTGCCTATTTGTGTCCATATATAATTGGTTTGGGGGCCTTGCACTTAAATGGCAATTTTTTTTTATGTTTTTTTTGGGATCAAATGCACTTAAATGGCATCTGATAACTTTATATATTGGTCTATATGGTAGCAAAGCAACTGACTTCTTATAAGAAAAATGTTTGGGAGCACTAATTAGTGCCCCACTAATTAGGTGACAGTGGGTTCCGCCATTAATGATGTGATGTTTTGGTCTTGGAGTTGTGTTTTTTTTTTTTTTTTTACTTTTTTAATGCATTAGTGCTATTAGTAGTAATATTTTTAGTGGAATGAATCATTGTTGCTTCTTATAATGATTCAGATTGGTTCGTATTGCAGCGAATAACTTCTGATTCTGTTTTATGAGAAAAGTTATTTGGTGTTTCCAACTGCTATCTAATCATGTGTTTCCTTAAAAATAGTGGGCATGTCATAATTTAAAAAAAAATAAAATAAAATAAAAAAAAAGTAGAAACCAATTCAACGTTTAAACGAATATAATTGAATAAGCACACATTATTATTGGGTCTCACTTAATAATTTCTGATCCATTATCTAGTGTTTTTAAAGCACTATATTATGTGTCCACTCAAACAATAAAGACAGAATAAGGCTCATTGGGCTTTTTTGGCTCAATGAGCCATAAAAGACAGAATAGGTTCATGAGCCACAACAGACAAAACATTCCATCCAACCCCATAATTATTACACTCTTCTCTCACAAAAAAATCAAAAAAGCCAAAAAGCCAAAAGCCCTTCCCAAACTAAGCTTTTGAGCCTAGGCTCATATAGTCAAAAAAGCCAAAAAGCCAAAAAGTCAACCCACTTCCCAAACGGAGGCTTATAATAATTGGACGAACACATTGTCGTGTTGATATTCCCAAACTTAAAAGAAAGCTTTGGAACAGTCAACATGTGGCACATAATGAATTGTCAAAATTAAATTTGACATGTATAAGCCCATAAAGGCCATGAATCACCTATGGCCCATCACTTGAAGCCCAGTGCATAACACAGCTGACGAGGTCCAGGACAGCTGGAGTCCAACATGGCATAAAGAGCCAATGACATTCAGACACACGGCAAGAGAAGGACGAACCACATCAACAGACAAAGATCTGCAAAGTTATTGCCACTGCACATCACCATTAATGCAGCCCATCACAGCATTTATTACGACAACACCTCTCCGCCGGAACAGGACCCCCTTACCCTGAGCAAGGTAAGCTACAGCATAGGCTTTCGGCAAGGAGAGCAGGTCGGAAGGGACAGCGAAATGATTGCCAAAGGATATAAGCGAACGTTGCAGACAAGAAAAAGGTTAAGCTTTCTATCTTTAATCTTCTTCCATATACTCTACTTCTCTTTCTAACTTGACCGTCGGAGGGTTCATTGGGGGACTACCCCGTTCCCCGTTGAACTTGTTTGCAGGGTATCCGGTGGGCTTGATCATTTGGGCTTAGGCTTGAGGAGCTTGGACCAGTTCGCTCCATTCACCGAGGATAAACTGTATCAACAGTTGGCGCCGTCTGTGGGAACGCTTTGCTCCTTGCGCCAGTTGTGTTCACTGTCGTCGGAGGCCCCGTTCTAACAACCTTTTTTTCCTACCCGTCAAAGTGCATGGTCACGACTAGATCCATGGCTTCTAACAATAATGTCGCCGACCATCAAGCCGACCCTCTCAATCCAAACAACCCACCACAGTATTTTATCGAGCTTACCAACAGCATTAACCGCATGGCCGAGCAAAACCAGGCCTTGATAAATGCTTTACTCCAAAGGAACCTTCCAATGCCTCCTCCCCCACCTCCAGATATTCCCCCCAACCAAGAAAAAGCCCCGAGCCATACTGCTCCACAACTCCATCCACCCAACTTGGAAGGTTTGCAACCTCCCCACCCACATATAAATCCACCACCACCCCCACATCCGTCGGTCGTAGCACCAGCCCCTGAAGGGGAGGCTACCAGCGTGCAACCTCCATTGACTGACCATGGTGACCGCGTTCCCCTCTGGGACGCTGAGCTCCGCACAATGAAGCTCCAACTCCAAGGGGTCATGCAGAATATTCAGCATAAACCCTCTACCACGGCAAATTCACCATTTGTTGCCTCCATCCAGGACAAACCCTTGCCCGCTAAGTTCAAGATGCCCACCATTGACTCCTTTGACGGTACGACGGACCCAGTCGACCATCTGGAGACCTACCGTACCCTCATGATCCTCCATGCCTTCCCTGACGAGATCATGTGTCGGGCTTTCCTCGTGACACTGAAGGGGTTAGCTCGACTGTGGTTCAATCAGTTACCAGCGGACTCTGTCTCCACTTTCTAGCATCTCAGCGACTCCTTCCTCAGCCATTTCATTGGAGCTCAGCGCCAACGCCGCCCTGCAACCCAACTCCTCAATATCCGTCAGACCGAGGGGGAGTCGCTGCGTAGCTTCGTTACTCGCTTCAACACCGAAACCCTACAAGTAGCGGAGAATGCCGATAAGGTCATCCTCACGGCTTTCATGGCTGGGCTACGATCGTCCGATTTCCTTTTCTCCCTCTCCAAAAACCCCCCGACCTCCATGGCAGCCCTATTATCCAAGGCCCAGAAGTATATGAATGCCGAAGATTCACTAGCCGCTCGGCAGGATCCAATATCCAAAAACTCGACCCCAGAGAAAAGAGAAAAGACTCGGAATCCAGAAACACCCAGTATAACAGCCAAACGCCCCAATATCCCGACCGACCTCCTCGCACAGACCGGTCAGCACCGGCTCGACCGCCCAGTCGGTTCGAGCGGTACACGCCCCTTAATTCTCCCATGGAACAAGTCCTCCACCAAATCCAACGGGATTACCCCCTCAAATGGCCCCTGCCTTCGCGGATCCCTTCCAACCGGAAAGACCAGTCCAAATATTGCCGCTTCCACCAAGACCACGGCCACAACACTAATGACTGCATCAACCTCAAGGATCAGGTCGAGACCCTCATTCGCCAAGGGCGTCTCAGCCGGTTCACGGACACCCGCCCACAACAGAGGCAAAGAACCGAGCTCCTCAGAAACAACCGCCGGCGTACCCCACCCCGGCAGCCAGCCCAACCTAACCAAGGCAGTGACTGCTTCCCCCACCAGCCTCGGCCCCCAGGTAATCCTCCTCCGCCAGTTAGTGAAATCCGAGTCATTTCTGGTGACCTTGCTTGTGGCGGACCATCCCGCTCCGCTCAGAGGGCAGAGCTCAAGAAGATAAGGCAAGGCTCGGACAGAGCAGTGGACACGGTAAACCGACCTTCCAAACAGCCCAAGCAGTGGACAGAACCCATCACCTTCACGGACGCCGACTGTACTGGTATCCGTTATCCTCATGATGACCTTCTCGTCATCTTTGCCCTTCTCTCCAACTATAAGGTCAAACGGGTCCTCATCGACAATGGCAGTTCTTCAGACATCATATTCCTAAGCTGCTTCTGCCAGCTCAAAATTGGAGAGGAAAGCATGTCCCCCCTCTAAATCCCTTTGATCGGTTTCACTGGAGACCGGGTGACCTCCATCGGCTCCATCGATCTCCCCATCACCATCGGCGAATACCCACGGCAGACTACCCAATTGCTCACTTTCCTTGTGGTGGACTGCCTCTCTGCCTACAACATCATCCTTGGTCGCACTGCCCTCAACGCCCTTCAAGCTGTCACTTCAACCTACCATCTCGCCGTAAAATTTCCCACCGACCAGGGGGTCGGGACAGTACGAGGGGAGCAGACCATAGCCAGGGAGTGTTATGTCGCCTCACTCAAGGAAGTCAAGCTGAAGGACGCCATGATCATTGAAGGACTTGACGCCCGAGATGAGAACGAGCTGGTCAGAGGCGAACCGGTGGAGGACCTCGTTGAGATTCTCATCGATCCCACCAACCTAATGAAAACTGCTAAGATCGGAAGCCAGCTATCCCCCCAAGCTAAGGCCGACCTTACTGCCCTTCTGACCGAGCACAATGATGTATTCGCCTGGACTCACTCAGATATGCCAGGCATCGACCCTTCTTTCATAACTCATCGCCTCAGCAGTGAACCTCATTTCCGACCTTACCGCCAGAAGCAGCGCGTCTTTCATCCAGAGCGCAATACTCTTATAGCCGCAGAGGTCGACAAACTCCTTGAGGCCCAATTCATAAAAAATGTCGACTACCCTAAATGGTTGTCAAACGTGGTCTTCGTCCGCAAGAACAACGGCAAATGGCGACTCTGTGTCGATTACTCTAACTTGAACCGAGCTTGCCCCAAAGACAGCTATCCTCTGCCCCGCATAGATCAGCTGGTCGATGCCACGGCCGATCATCAAATGCTCAGCTTCATGGATGCTTTCTCTGGCTACAACTAAATCCTGATGCACCCGTCCGATCGGGAACATACATCCTTCATCACCGATCGAGGTACCTACCATTACCAAGTAATGCCATTCGAATTGAAGAACGTTGGGGCCACCTACCAACGGTTGGTCAATGCCGTCTTCCATCACCAAATAGGTCAGAATATGGAAGTATACGTCGACGACATGCTAGTCAAGAGCAAACTCTCCACTGATCACCTGATCGACCTGCGGGAGACCTTCGCCATGCTACGCAAGTACCAAATGAAGCTCAACCCAGAGAAATGCGCCTTCGGCATAGGATCTGGGAAGTTTCTGGGTTTTATGGTCAGTCAACGGGGCATTGA